CACTAGTGATATAATTATGTTTATAAAGTTGTATTTAATATCAGCAGTATTTATAAAATAGAAAATGCAACCTGGGCAAAAATGGCAGCTTTGATTCTATTTCTATGCCTATGTTTCCCTCCTATTTAAAAATTCACCTCCTTATCTCCTTTTAGTTTGTTACTTGGACACCTCAATTTAAGTTTTTCCTGCTGTTTTCCATTCCTGCAGCTTATTAGGTCTCCTGAACATCTTTTGGGTGATCTACCAATTTGGGGAAGTAGTAGAAAGAGGAAATCACAGTGCTCTTTCCAGTGATAAAATAGGAAGATAAACGACACTCTCTGGGGGCTAGCTTAATGTTCCTCGCCTTCCTAACTTGCTCTCTTCTACGGGAGAGGACTGTAGGTTGTAGGGAAAGCTTGGGACCCATGCTGCCCATTTATGCTGCACATCAAGTTCAATAGTAACATTCTGGCTTTGATTCAACTCTTCCTCTTGCACATTTCAGCACATTGATCTGATTAATAGAGGAAATGAGCACCCAACACTGTTAGTGTAAAGATATTAAACAGGTAAAACAAGGTAAAATAATTTCTAAGAATCTGTGGGGATGGGGGCATAGTGCCCTCTGCATATGTGTCTGCTCTACATTATGGGTGTGTGTCCAGAGCGTTTATTCTTTGGTAAGTTTTCTTTGCTGGAAGAGTTACAATTTCCTGGATAGTTCAGTCTTGAACAGTTTAGAGTACTCACTATATCTGGCCTGCTCTGACCCATTCATTTTGGCTTAAAGGGCTTTACTCCACTTACTTTTGTAGTAAATGAAGGTGCATCACCTTTTCGAAAGGTTATTTGTACTCTTCCCCTCTTACCTTATCTTCTTCCTTTGTGAAAGATGAGGTTACGAAGACTATACGTTTGGCTCTCTAGTTAATTAGGGAGAACCTGAAGTTTCTCATGTGACCGCTTTGAAAAAGGGAGCAGTCCGAGGAACAGGAACTTTAAAAAATGTAGGCCAGTTAATCTTCATAAGAGGAAAGCTCAAACAAAAATATTACTGTTCGAGGGAAAGTGCCTCAACCTCTCATCTATCTTCAAAATAGAATAAAAATCCCAATGAAAAAAGCCAACCCAAGTCCTGGATTTCTATATTTCTTCTCTAATTCTGTCGGAACAGTGTGGGAACTGGGTGCTTCATGTGTTTTAATTTCTTTTCAGCAATGTCCCTATTAGCATGATGTTCTTGAGTCTTTGTATTTAAAAGCATCACTCAGAAAAAAATAAACCAGAGAAGGTTGGATTATCTACATTCTCACCTTTTTGTGAAGCAAATAAGGTACGCTCAGTAGACACTAGCTAGGCTGAAACACTATTAAAAAAATGTAGTTCAGACAGAGGATTGGCTCGTTATTTTTATGAGAGAGACCCTAATTCTGCTGGACCCCGAAGAATGGGCTGTTGTGACTAAGCAAGCAGCATAAGGCAGCTGGCTTCTGCGGATGTTATCTCATTTGGAACACATTTCAAACTTTAGAACAGATTTTTATATTGGAAGTTGAAACCTGCACGCTGTCAGCAGAAGAGGCTGATTCGGTCTCCTAGAACTTATCTTTAAGTTTCAGAGTTTTTTTAAGAAGTAGGTTACCTAACGTGCGTTGTGATACATCAAAGGGAGAAATAAAAAACACCTCCCAGAATGTGGGTGACGTATGCATCGGAACATCTTTTGGACTTTTAATAGATGCTTATTTGAATGGGGACTTCTCTCGATCGGAAGCCTCTAGCTCTTTATAACTTGTGAATGTTCGTGGATCTCTGAAAGGTTAATGAAATTTCTTTTTCTGAAAATATTTCTTAAGTGGTGGGGGTCATTTATGTGGAACTTTCTGAGTTATAACTATAACCCCATGATTGTTCGGGGGTAAATTTAAATAAAGGAAGTATAGTTGTGGCAAGATCAGAAGTAAGGAAAACCAGAGTGACGGTGGTGAGTTCCTTATTCATTGTCCATTGCTTTTATATGGAATCATGGAAAAGTTACTGAAAGTCTGGATACCCAGAAACCTGTGCCGACTGAATTCCTTCCATTAGAGGAACTAAACAAATGATACCAATGTAATGATGTGCACCTGGCTGGAATGTCAAGCTAGTATTTGGAGAATACGAACTTGTCTGTGAAGAAAAAGCTGTTGTGTGCTTGTTGCCTTAGAAAACAAAATCCATGATGCCACCAAACTACAGGGAGAAACGCATGGAGTGGCCCACTAGAGGTCCCTTCCAAAAAAAGTTTCTGCCATTCAAGAGTGAGTGGCCTCAGTACACGTTGGCATTCGTGGCTGCAGAGCAAGTGAAGGCCAGAAGGGGGGACCACACGTTTCAGTTTCACTTCCTTAGGAAAGCATATGGTTTCACTCAGAATATTTGCCATATTTTACCTTTTTATAGCCCTAGGTAGGATAGTCACTCAATTAGCTCCAATTAGGTATTCAGAACTTCTTGTTCCAACTTATTGATGCATCTGCAAGAATAAAGTGTCATTTGATGTCCTTGAACTGTAGTTGTGCTTTCTAGAAATTTTAGCTGTTGCATGTATCACAGAGCAGTGCTTTTCAAGACAGGTTTTTTTTTTTTTTAACATAGGAAGGAAGAGTGCCTCAGAGTAAGTTCTTACTTGCAAAGCTGATGGGAGTGGTGGGTGGAAGAGATAAAGTACATGTTTTCTGGTAGTAGGCAACTTGGTAGAAAATGACTTTGTTTCTATATATTATCTTTGCAGAGTTAGCATTAAGAAGTGTAATTGCAATAAATTGATGTAAAAGCCAGATAGCAAAGGGACTAAAAGTCCCTGTAGAGACACTAGTCTATCACTTATAATGGCAGTGAAAGATAATTGTAGACAAGTACAGTAGAACTAAACCATTGCTATTCTCCCTCAGAAATGTGCTGCTGCCTCCCAAGTTTTTCTGAAGAAATTGGTTACTTCCTCTACATGCCACGAAGCATCAAAATAGGTAGAAAAAGATCTGCCCTTTACTTCCTCCCAGTACCTGTTTAATTAGAACACAGCATAGAGCAAACGTGGGTGAGATACAATCCTGTGTGATTGTATTTTCCAGGAAATTGTTGGGCTGCCTTTAAGTTTCGGAGCTCTGCATTGAAAATCTGGCCTCTGGCATAAACTTTGCCCTCCTCCTTATGAGATAATGAAGACATCTTCTTGATCATATCCCCTTCCTTCACACAACTTGCTTTCCGGCTCTCTAAAATAGCCAATACCGAACCACGCAAGTGCCATGACACAAAGGATGATGCTCAAGCTAAACTGGAAGAGATCCCCCCCACCCCCCCACACCCCCGCCCCTGAGTACAATCCTAAAGGATTTCCTTTTTGGGTAAAGGCGTCAGCAAGAAAGGGAAGGAAATAAGCAACCCTCCTCCCCCCATTCGAATAAACATATTTTTTATTCATTCTCAGGAGAGTTGTGCATCAACTAGGTACATCCCCCATGTTCCTTTTCCAGCTCGGGGAGGAGAGTGCACCTGCTGGATAATGTACACCCAGAAAGCACATATTTGGCATGTGCACCCCTCCAGGGCAGCCATACATGTATGTGCACACCAGCCACTCCAGCAACGTTCTTGGAGGAAAAACCTCTTCTTTCCTACATTATGTGCTTCATTAAGTGAAAGTGAAGACTGGACAAGACACGGGCCTGATACACCTCTTTATGTAAATATCATAATTAAAATGAGAGAGAGAGAGAGAGAGAGAGAGAGAGAGAGAGAGAGAGAGAGAGAGAGAGAGAGAGATTGAGAGAGAGAGAGAGAGATGTGTGGCTCTTCCAGATGATTAAACTTCTTGGTTCTTCAGTGTTCCCAGTAGTTAACTCAGGTGAACAGCCCCTTGCCACTAACAGAGACCTGCATATAACTCCCCATAAAATATGGATTTTATTGCAGCAGTGACTACACTTCTGAGCACCATGCTGACCTCTCCAGCGTCTCCCATCTTAAAATCTCCGGTAACTCTTGGCAGAAGAATATCTAACTACAGAAGTAATCCCAGCTCTGCAACTGCTGCAGTACACACCATTGCAACGTCCCCTTTTATTAAATTTCTGGATTAATAAACCCGTGGAGGGCTCCACTTTTCCTGCATCGGACATCTAACAACGCCAGGCGCACTCGGTCTGCTCTTCGAGCAGTCCGGGGAGGCGTTAGACCCCCGATTTGTGCCTGGCCGGCCGTGAGAGCACGAGCGAGCCGCGTTTCCCACATGACTTAGCCCTGGACAGTGTGCTCCATTTTCGGAGTGCAATGTTGGACTTTCCTTGCAACCTAAGCATTTCTGTCCTATGCGAGCCGGCAGGCGTTGCCCCATATGAGCGAGCAAGCTAACAGTTTTCTTTAGCTCTTTCTCTGGGCCAGACCACCTCTTTAGCTTAAGTTTTCCTTGTGGAAAGCATTCAGGAGTTTTTAAGCTACCTGATTTTCTGCTTTACTCCAAAGCCAAGAAATGTTAACTCAGCCAAAGCAGTCCTGCATAGACACCCTTGCGATGTGGGCAGGTGGGAATAAATCAAGCCGCAAACGGCTCCGCGGGTCCTGCACGCACCAGCGCCCTTGGTAATTGACCAGCCAACTTTGCAAATGCCGGCGCTCCCTGGGAAGCCTCTGCCCGCGGAGAGAAAGGCGGCGTGTTCTTCCCCACGCCCGTTACAGGCGCCCCCACCCAGCCCCGGGCGGATCGGTCTTACCAGAAGGCAGATGAGCGGCGCTCAGGCTCCCCGGGAAGCGGCGCCCGTCCTGGGCAGCGGCAGCAGCGCCGCCTGCGCGACCGGACCCGCGCGCCCGCCCAGACCCGGGCCGCCGGGCTGAGCATCCCTCCCAACTCCGGGAGCGCGGCACCCACCCGGCGGAGAGGAGGGCTCTCTGATTGGCTTCCATCAAAGCTATAGAATTAAAAAACAGAAAAGGCAGGCACAACCACCACCGCTACCATCAGAGACCGAACCCACCTTTGCTCTCCTTGCTGTGCCCGGGGAGACCCCGCGACCCGCCCAGGCTGCTCCTGTCGCCGCCGCCGCCGCCGCCGCCGCTGCGCGCCCCGGCTCTGCGGTTCTCGCTGCAGCGGCGGAAACTGCAGCTCCTGGGATGGGAAGGTTACGGGCTCCGGAGAGCTGGCTCTTGTGGGCACACACTGATTTGCAAGTGAATGAAGTGGGAGGGCGCAAAGAGAGGAGGACTTTGTTAGCGAGGCCCAGTGCCTGCCCCCACCGCCCCCTCCCCTTGACAGAATGACTCCCTGTGTTTGAAGTCCTGAGCAATTCGCTGCCTGTAACACTCCCTCCCTCAGTCCAGGCTCCCCTTTCCTTTCCATTCTTATTTTTTTTTATGGGGAGGTGCGGGGGGGGGGGGGTTAAGACACACTCGGAACTTATGTGGCTGTTCTTTCCTTTTTGCTGTCAAAATGCACCCTGTGCTAATAGCAGGCAAAGGTCTGTTGTTCTTTTTTTTTACCGACCGAGCGGTTACAATTCCCAGGGACAGGACCTCCTCCGCTATCAATTGGCCGGCTTCGTGTTATAGCACGCAGAACATGCACACATGTACAACAAACCCGTCTCCTGGGATAACAGTACCGGTGGCTTTCCTTTACAACGTAAACGGGCGCTCTCCAGACGCAGGAACACGCAGGTTCAGACGTGTTTTTCCTTCTCTTAATGGGAAGACAGGTTTTTACAGAGTCCTGTGATCTTTGCTGCGCTCGCAAGTGAGTAACCCCAGGATGTTGTGGCAGGATGAAGCCATGCTTCCCTGGACTTGCGGAAGCGCGAGAAACCCAAGCCCTCCAGGCTCACCCTGACGTGCGGCTGATTCCATCTTTCTGAGTTACTACACGGATACCAAAGACTTCTAGAAAAGGGCTGAATAATGATATTCAAGGTCTACCGAACTGGTGTAGGATCTTTCAGGAAAGTTCCTGAAGTAAGATAACCTCCAAATTAAACTCTTTGGAACCCATAGGTTGAACGGTTGTATTTACACTCACACACACAAAAAGAAGGTAATTTCTCCTATTAGGGAACTCAGCTGCAAGAATCTTAAGCATGTCAAAAGATGATTAAATGAGAGTAATGGTTTTCTGCATAGGAGATGTAGACTTGACGGAGCCAGGCACTGTTGGATTAGGAAAATTAAATCTAATTACCACAGTGATTGCACCCGGGGTCAGCAACATCCCAAACCAGCTGTTCGTGTATGCTGCAAGTTCACCCGGAGATTTCCATCGCATGGTGCTCTAAAACAGAATCCAGGCTGCTCTGGCCTCTGAGCAGTTAAATTGGTTGGAGGTTGGTCTCCTTCCCAACTGAGCTTTTACTAGAAAATCTTTTGTTTCTCCAATAGAAGTTCAGGCATTTAAATAAAGCCCAAATCAAAGTGTTTCCTCCAGGCAGTCAGCGCTTCAAAGAAGTGTGCATGCAGTGGTTTTCGCACAGATGTTCCACACATGGAAGATGGAAAGACTCTGAGTTTCTTTCCTGAAACCATCTTCCCCTGATGAAGAATTGTCACCAACTTATGAAAAGAGGCTGGCCATTTTTTTTTCAGGCAGCTCTTGGAACTCTTGTGGGGACAGAGTATGCAGAGGAAAGCTGCTTTTCATTCATAGCCCATTCCTCAGATTATGGATTTCTTATACGTTTAATTGGAAATTCTAGCTTCTTATGTTTGTGTAGTCCTTTCCTACTCACAAAATACTTTCATGGACTGTTTTATTTAATTCTTCTTTCAACAAGTGGCGTGATTTCCCCCCATTAGGACAGAAGAAACACACTGGGGAGCTGATGGTGTAGCGTGACTAACATGTGTGCCCCCGTAAACCTGGTGAGCAGGAGAAGCAGAAATATCACTGGTAAACTGTGTGCAGATATAATTATATAATTATACGTATGCCAATAAAATGTCCCATTTTAAAGCAACGTTTACAGAAAAATATGTAAGATTGACTAATTTTTTTTTGATAAAAGTGGATGATAGTGAAGTTGATGTTCTACCCGTTGAACCAGTTAATATCTCACAAAGGAAATCTCTTAATTGTTTGCAATATACTATTCTTCAAACCCCATTAAGCTACATAGCAAAGGTGATTAAAACAACTACTTTTTGTTAAGAATGAATAAACAATTTCCTTCTAACCGTTCAAGTGGCAACATTAAATTACATAAAGGATAGCACTTTTTAAAAAAGTTTTGTCTTATCTAAACATTTTTTAAGGATTGCACTTTCATCCTAAAAAGTGTTTTGTGTCCTGGCTGGTGTAGCTCAGTGGATTGAGTGCGGGCTGCAAACCAAAGCATCGCAGGTTCGATTCTCAGTCAGGGCACATAGCTGGGTTGCAGGCCATGGCCCCCAGCAACCGCACATTGATGTTTCTCTCTCTCTCTCTTTGTCTTTCTTCCTCCCTTCCCTCTCTAAAAATAAATAAATAAAATCTTTTAAAAATTCAGAAATGTCCATTTCTGTATTTCTACAAGGTCATAGTTATGGGCTTTTTAAATAAAAAAAGTGTTTTGCATGATTTTTGAGGGTTTTTAGTAACATTTACCACAGTAATTATTAATTTTTATTTACACAATTGATGTAAATATCCAGAATTAGTTTACTCTCAGTTTGGAGATAAAGAACTGAGGTTACTAAGGTTAGATGATTACCTGGAGTTACATAAATACTGTTCCAGTTCATTCTTCGGCACACAAACCATGCTGTCAAGCAACAGAAGCTAATTAGTGACAGTTAACTAATAAGGGGTTCTAGCTGCTATCACCATGTAGGGTCTTCTTGCGAACCTCAAGAAAATTCTGCAGGGTCTCCGGAAAGGCCTGGAGGCAGACATCCAGAAGCCATTAGCGCTCTTCCTGCCACCTCCTTCCTTCTCCCGAATGGGCTTCTGTTTGGTTTGTCTGCCCACACACCTGCTTCCTCTGTCCCCCAGTCCATAGGGCAGAATAGCGCCGCCCGCAGTGCCAGAGCGTACCAGCGGGAAGGAGAGGCAGCTCTTTTTCCGCTATGTTGCCAATTTCTTGGAAAGTAGCTTCAGTGGGTCAAGTGTTCCCCTCCACCGTTTAGCTGGGGCGGGGGCGGGAACTGGGGCTGGGACAGGAGGAGGCGGCATGGTTACACACACGCACACTCTGGCTCGCCTAGGACCAAAATGAGGGTGACGGTCGGGGCATGTCCTTGTGACCCAAGAAGACATCTTGGAGAGTGTGCTATTCTCCATGTCCCGTTGTTTTGTTTAGCGATTTGGTAGAGCTGAAGCATCTCACCTGTATTTTAGGCTACTTCATTATTTTATATGCTTCAGTAAAAATTACTTGTACTTTTCTCCTTTTACAGCTTGCAAAGTTTCAGTTAAAAAAAAAAGAAACCTTCTTCATAGACCATTACTAGGGATATTAATTTTGATGAGGGATGTTTCAACTTCCACTAAATCTCTCTTCAGATGATTAAGAGGCTATCTTACCCTTATAATGGGGATGCATATAAATAAATAATTGCGAGTTCCCTGACTTTCTTCTCAATAATACACATCTGTATGCAATGATTATCTGATAAAAACATTTTCATGATCATCAACAATTATTCTTGATTAGAAGAAAAAAGTTCATTTTCAAAACCACGTGCTTCATTAAGAATCTTGGCATGGATGGTTTTGATTCAGCCCATCCAAGTCTTCCATCTGAAATTTACCCTAAATGTGTTGCTGCCAGAAAAAGTACAGATATTTACAGAGCTTATTACTTAGTTGTCACGGATGTGCACAAGTGATAAGTTCCACTGAGGAATGCAGGCCCATTCCCCACCTCTGTCATGTGTGTGTGTAATTTCACATGCACACACACACACACACCAGTGGTTAGGAGGGAAAAGAGATTTAACCTCTTTGGATATTATTGAACTGAAACAAAGGAGACAGGAAACCTCTATGGAATTCCCCTTTTGTGAGAGCCATGGACATCTCAATACAAGCTAAAATAAATTCACACACACTTCATGTGCTTATCCAGGTTCTCCAATCTTGGGAGAGGTTCCAATTTGGTATTTAAAAATGGGTTGGATCCCAGGATGCATTAAGACAATTCTCTCTGGATCATTATAGTTGACTCATCACTATAGGTAGAATACAGTAGCCAGGAGATTTCCAAGGGAGATAAATGCACAGCAGCAAAATGTTATTGACCTACACAGGGCATTTTAATGCTCTGGGCATTTCAGGGTAAGTAGAGTGGATTTCATTTTTTGTAAAATTCTTTTTCTGTCTTATTCACTGCTTTGTGGTGGAATCCTAATTTGCCTGATCAGACATGTACAACTCAAGTTTGGCCGACTGTACTATGTCAATGAAGAGACATGTCTATGTTTAGGAAAAACCAGCACATTGGGAGAATATGTAACATAACGGTATATTCTTTTAAATAACTGGTCTATATTTAAACCATAATAAACAGAAATAGTCTAGAATAAACAGAGAATCCTACACTTACATCCAGAGGGAAAAATATGTCCCTTCCTTCACTAACCCCTCTCCCAATTGTAGAAGCACTTGGATGGCAATAGAGGCGAACTAGAGTGGGAAAGACAATCTGATGGCATAGGGTCAGGCAGAAGTAACGCCACAGAGTGTGGTTGGTAGGGTATGTGACTGTCTCATACGAGATGGACAGTGATGTGAACATTTCACCTAAAATGTCATAGGGTGTCCTTTGGTGTGCTTGAGGGTGATATTGCTGTGTTACAGAATTACATGCTTATGATTTTGTAAGAACAAATTTTTGTGTAATAAAAAGGGGGCTTTATCTTTGCCAGCCCCTGTCTTTTGGGATTTTATAGGTTGCAAGAACATAACACTTTCACTATTTTTGTCAGAAAGAAGACAAGGAGGAAGATGAGAGAAAGGGAAGAAGAAGACTATTCTTTGCATAGGTATAAGTGTTCCCTTTAGAACAGACCAGACCCTGCTTAGAGCCCTCTGCTTCTCTTTATATACCACGCTTAAATACCCTTTCCTCTTTTTGCCCCTTCTTGTGTGTTTCCATTGTTCTTTGTAAAATACCTAAAGGACTTTGGCTGAACTGCACCATTTATGAGTTCTTTTTCATCTACCACACTGTACATCTATTGAATTATTG